CCCACTGGATCTCTTTTCTGTTTGTCAGTGTGTTGAAATATTAACAGGCTGAAATTCATAAATAAAAGTAAAATTTTTACATATTTATGCTATTTTCACCGAATGCTAATAATCCAGTTAAATGAAATACAAAGCTTTTTTAAAAAATTAAAAGCTGTATTTCCACACCTAAAGATTTCTTTGGGTTGGATGCATTTTAGTGACTGATTTATTCACAAGTAATAATTCTGCAGAAGCTTTTCAGGTCATTGCATCTTAAGAGGTGACATTCAGTGCCCTTCCTGAGGACCCATGGCATATAACTTCCATAGAGAGTTGGCTTTTAGCAGTGAACTTGACTGGAAAAATAAGCAGTAAATCTAAGAATCCTTCCCCTTGCAGTTTCTTTCAAAGCAAGTTTGGGGTGATAAAATCTTACTGACAATAAATTCACAGTTTTACATGTGACAAAGGACATGTAATTCTGTTTATTTACGATTTGTTTCTGGATTTCTAAAGCCCCCATTATCATGAAATCAGCTATGACATAGATTTATGGAAAAACAAGCTGCAGTTCCTCTGTGCATTCTGAGACAGAAAGACAGGTGCATCATACACTTTTCGTAATGTGCAATCTTCACTTGTTGATGAACAAGTCTTGTTGTTGAAGAATCACAGAGACTTCAAACAACAGCCCAGCAAATGCCTCTGTCTAAACAGAAACCCTGTATTTGATTCTTTCTTCACTTGGAGCACAGTCTGTGTTCATACAGAATCCCCTTCCTTTTCTTTGTAAATTCATAATATCCCTTCATCAGTATTTATGGAAAGTAGTTAACATCCTAGAGATGCCCAAGACTGTTTTCTGTGTTTCTAATGTCTTAAACAATTCAAAGAATATCACCTTGAATGTGCTGCTTGACTGATGTAAGCACACTGCAGGATGCATTTCTAGTAGTAAAACTGCTAAGTCCTTAGGTCAATACCTTATTTTGTTGCTGGTAATGATGACCAATATGCCATTTCTAGCACATGTATCAAGTCACACTCCTACTAGACGTAGAAGAAGATCAAAAAATTCTTCAATTATGTATATCAAATGTTTAGATCTTTGCCCATCTGTTGAATCATTTTCTTGGCAAGTTGGCAGCAGATTGACCTGTAGGCAAGCCTGTGCGGACATTTGCTTGATTGGTGGTTAATGTGGAAGGGACCCAGCCCAAGACATTATGGGAAATGCCATCACTGGGCAGGTGGTGCTGGGAGGTATGAGAACTCACATGAGTGTGAGCTTGAGGAAGAAAGCGCTAAGCAATGTTCTTCTGTGGCCTCTGCTTTGGTGCCTGCCTTGACTTCCTGCCTTGCCTTGCCTTCCCTTCATGAAGGAATGGAAAGCTGTAAGATGAAATGAACCCTTCCCTCTCTAATTTGCTTTTGGTCAGAATGTTCTATTACAGCAATAGAAAACAAACACACAGAGACAGAAACCAGACCAGTTTGTGAGATAATGCAGTGACAGATGTGGCCATGTTATTTTGAGACGGACTTTGGAACTTTGGACTTGAATAGCCCCCCCCCCCCCCCCCCCAGTGCTTAGAACTCGATGGGCTTAGAGATGTGGGAATTTAGAAGATAGGAATGTTGAAAACCATGCAAATGATTGAAGCCTGGCTTGTGATGTTTGGAAGAGAAGTTTGACAGTCTCTAAAAGATTCTATCAGGACGAAGTGAATTGTATTTTGAATTACATATATGTGGTTTCTGGCCATCTGTGGCTGAAGGGTTGACTGGGTAACAGGAGACCAGAACCACTAACGTGAAACCTTTACTGTGACAACTGAGCTATTTGCCTGTGGCTGAAAGACCAGCAGCAGTGATTAAGAAGAGACCAATATTGTTGAGGTGAAACCTTCTGGGATGGTTTCCTCCCGAATCAGCACACAGCTGTTGTCCAGAAAGGGGGTGGGGATGGTAAAGCCTGCATCTTAAGCTAGTTAGCCCAACTTGGGAATGTGTAAGAGCCTCTCATTTGGTTGGTGGTGGTTTTGGCAGCCTGAGAGATGCATGGTTTGAAGAGGTCACGGAGAGACCCTGAGGCTTGGTACCACACCACGAGAGGCCATTGGAGACAGTCCAGTCTCAGCTGCACTGGAAATACGAAGATTAAAGGAGTCATGGAATGATGTTGAGCACCATGTGACAGGTCAGAGCCGCTGAAGAGAGCCCCAGGGGAGGCTGTTCTTGAAAGTACAACCCAGGTAAACAGACGGCCTCAAAAGTCTGGAGATGGCAGAACCGGTCTGAACACAGGAGACAATCTGTATGTATTGTGCACGGCAGAGCCAGAGAAGTACTAATGCCTAAGCTCTCTGGAGCCCAGAACTCCGTGGGTGAATCGCAGGCACCTGTCACTGAGTGTTAGACCATTGGAGAGGAAGCATGTGCTACCCTGGGAGGGAGTGTGTGCTACTGTGAGCAGGGAGCGCTTGCTACTATGAGAGGAGGCAGGGCATGTACTACCAGGAGAGGGGGTGTGTGCTACTACAGGAAGGAGCACTTGCTACTGAGAGAGGGAGTGTGGACTAGCTATCATGAAAGGGAATGTGTGCCACCGTGGGAGGAACGTGTGCTATGGTGAGAAGGAGCCTCTGCTACCCCGACCGAGGGTGTGCTGGCTAGATTTCTTGGCATAGGTTCCTCAGTGAGATGCCTCTTGATTTGTATAATTTTTGTCAAGATAGAGATAAAAGGGTAGCTATTTCTAGAACCCTAGAAAATGAAATGATGGTAAAGGTGCAAGCGATTAGGGCCCCCTGTGTGGCCTTTGTACCCTGCTGCTTCTCCAAGCAGAGTAAGGAGCCCGCAGCCCTTCCGGGGTGATGTCTTCAGCTGACAACAGATGTAGCTATTTCTTCAGTCTGGTTCGTGATTGGAGCACTTCAAACAGGCTGAATTCCAAAATGCTGTCTTAACCTGATTTCCCTTCTGACTGGAGATTGGTTACAAGGACCCCTCAGTGTCCAGCCTGGATCCCTTGAGAGTTGGTTCACATCTGCACTGGACTTGAGGAAGTTCCTCAGGCCGGGTCTCTGTGAGGACAAGGAGAAGAATTGGATTGCCGTTAATATTTTCTTAGCATGTTCCTATTTTAGTACTTTGATGGAGGAGGGGAAGGGGGAAGATTTAGTGGCTAGAACATATATTTTCCATAAATATTAAAAAGAAATCGTTACCCAGACAATACTTCGGATGTATTTTATGTGATACACATATGGAATTTCTGTTTCAAAGGTGCCAAGGTTTATTTTTAACACACAGCTATTTAAAGAAGGATCAAATTAACCCATGCTTTCCCAGACCCTTTAAAACCTTGTAGTTGCTTCTAAGCTTTCCTGTTTTCAAAAAATACAGCTCAGGGTTATGGTATATATATTTCCTTTTCTTAAACTCAACATTTGCTTTGTATTGCTAACTGGAGAAACCCAGATCAACAACAACAACAACAAAAACCTCTATTCCCCCCCCCCAAATAAAAAATCAGACCTGTGAGTGCTTTGGAAGTGTCTGAAACTAATGGGGAATTTTGTGATGTATTTGGCAGTTACTGACTTTTGAACATGATAAATATCCGTCATTTTTCAGAAGGCAGTGGTCAACTTGTGTGCATGACGAGGAGGTCACACCTCAGGCCAATCCTTCTCTCTACCGTTTTTCTTCCAACAGATTATTACTCAGTACAAGAATGAGTCTAATTCTTTCTTTATTTATATGTGAAGTGTTTATAAACCTGGGATTTGTAGATAACAAATAGCCCCGAGCCTTATTAACTGTATGACTTTCGACAAGATATTAACAGGGTCTGTAAAACAAGAATGATGTAAATGGTTCTCAGCAGGTCTAAATGAGGTCATGTGAGTAGCAAACTTTGAAAGGTGCCTGGCACAGAAGACTGCAATAATTGTGCACATATGCTCATTATTTTCATAATTATTGTTTATAATAAGTTGTGAACTCCTGAAAGGCAGGAAATCAGTTTGCTCGATTTTTTTTTGTACAGCAATTAGAGGCAGTGATTTGTATGAGATAGTATTTGAGCAAATATTTGTTCAATGAGGACATATTAATAAATTATGAAAGGCTGCAAGTTGTTATGATCTTCAGAAAAAAAAACTTTTTTTTTCAAGCTGCTGAGCAAATGGGTATTGTTGTTACCACAGGGTCTCTGCACTTGGTCAGGCTTCCAGTTTCCTGATGACTTAGCAAAATAATTGAGAAAGCCCACACATACAGTTGATAAGAAAGTAATTTCTTTAGAAGAGATACCGTGAAGTGGGTCTTCTGTAAGCAAGCAGCAGGCTCAAGCAAGAGGGTTCCAGAGCCCTTGGCTCTTTTCCCTGGTTCCTGGGGGGGAGAGGATTAATCTCCATGAGCAAGGAAGAGATAGATTGCAGCAGGCTGTTTTCTTTAGGGCCAGCAAGCAGCTCCAAAATTAAGACATGGAGACTTCTTATTAGTTATGAATGCTCATCACTCTTATCCTAGCTCTTATTTTAATCTGTTTCTCTTTAGCTACATTTTGTCTTGGGGATTTTATTTTTCTGTGTGTCCTAATTCCACTGGTTCTCATGTCTGGCTGACTGGTGGCTGCCTGGCTTCTGACCCTTGATTTGTCTCTCTCTTTTCCCCTCACTCTCTCTTCTCTCTTCTCTTTGCCTGCCAGTCCCAGGGCTATCCCTTTTCTGCCTAGCAATAGGCTATTCAGCTTTTTGTTAGACCAATCAGGTGAGGAAGGCAGGGTAAAACAGCAGCACATCTTTACATAATTAAACAAATGCAACATAAACAAATGTAACACATCTTTGCATCATTATCAAAGGCAGAAGAAACAAAAGTAACATACAGCTACATTTACACAGTTAAAGTAATATTCCACAGCATAAACAAAGGCAGTGCATCTTTACATCGTCAAATATTCAACAACAATGGATCCTTCCCTTACCCTTGCAGAGGTGGGTTGTTAGCTAACTTTGAAGGAGCAACTTGTGCATGGCCGTACATCTCACAGTGTTAAGAATATGTGCGTGGAGCATGGGGTGGACAGGAATCAGAGGACATATTCTTCCAAGAACAGTTGTCCAGGGTCTCTGCATCTGCCTCTGCGTTGGTTTGCTTCATTCCCACATTATAGCTAGTAATGCCCCAGATGGTATGTAGAAGCCAGCTTGTTGAGGATAGATGGCTGGAGACACAGCACATACAGTTGTCCTTAGGGCAGAACAATTCTTTCCAAAAGTATGAAGCAGGTTGTGGCTACTTTGTAACTCAAGGTGCATGTTGGAACACTTTGAACTCTCCGAGGAACCCACTGCATGTCCACAGATGATATAATGGAAAGAAAGGAAATTTATTTTTGGGGGCAATCATTGCAGAAAAAATACTAATGTTAGAACAACATACTCATAAGCTAGTAGCAAACAGATGGGAACAAATTGCTTCTTAAAGAGTCAAATTCTTGCCTTTTTCCTGTGATGTATTATTTACTGTGAGGAGTACAGGACCAGCTGCTAAAATGCATATGGCCATCTGGGGCCTTTGACCAGACAGCAAGGAAGGACAACACAGGGCCAACTTGGAAGTTCAATTGTTCTCCTCAACTATAAACCTGAGAAAGCTGAGTTTCTTCCACCATGACATTGGTAGATGCATTTAAATGTGCATTTAACTTGAAGGCTGTCCATGGAGGAGCCTAGAAGATCAATCATAGGTGGTTAACATTTTCCTCCATTCCTCACATGCAGAAAGATCGGAAGATGTTTGTTGTTTTATTTTGTCTGTGATTAGAGAACAGACAGAATAGCAAGCATATGCCTGAAAAAGAATTGTATGTCCAAGCTATTATCATAGAATGAATCACTCTGCATTAAAATAAATTTAAACACCTTCAGAAGTAAAAGTTGAATTTCACATGAGAAGAGAGACACTGCAAATGTTTGCATTGTCCCTTCCTCTTGGAACTCAGATTTCCTCTCTCCAGAGTCCAGTTATCTCAGCAGAGCAAAACAAGACTACAGAACAGTTAATTTGGGCTTCAAAGACTCTGTAAAATGTGATGCAATGCCATGGTATTTACTGCTTTCTAAGAGCTTTCTAGAATCCAGCCTAAAAGCCTCCCTTTTAAAGAAAGTTATGCTTGTAACTGGAAAAAGGCAAGGTGAAAAGCAAGGCTTGATAGAACGCCCATAGTAACGCTTCTGTTCTTTTTTGGCCCTCGCCACTTGCTAATGTCTAAGGTCTAAGGGGAAGCACTCCTCTTAGACTTCCTGATGGATTCCATTTGATATTTGAGGCACTGCATATTTACTCATACTTTCACTTTCCTTTCGACCTTGTTCTAGAAGAAAGGGCATGTGACTCTTGACACTACTCTCTCTTCACTAAAATTGCATCGATAAACAATTTTTCTAGTTTTTCTAAAAATAATACTTAAAACACTTCATAATTTATGATCTGATGTCAAGTTTTTTTGAACTATTACCCAACAGATATTTATGGAAATATAATTTTATCTTATTATATCTGTTCATATGATTTACATATTTCTGGTGGCACAAATGTTTGTAGCTCAAAAATATAAACCTGGGTTACCATGGATACATGCATACAGAATTTCAATTCATCAAATTATTATAAAAAACTTGCTATTTATTTTTAGGATGTCATATAGCTTAAGCAAACACTCTTACGGTGTTTATTTTCACTCCTACTAGGATTGTTAAGACTATTGCTAGTAATTTTTTTTTCTTTTAATGCTTTCTTCATGCTTTTTTTTTTTTTTGCCAAAGGTCACAGTTTAAAATGAATGTCAGAATGACTGATCAGCAGTCTGGGCTGACTTTTGCTAGTCCTCCTTCCTGCAGGTATGCCAAAGGAGGTTTATATATAACCTCAAAATGATGCTCATTATAATGTGTTAGAGTTAGAACAATCCAAAGGGAGCTCATATGAAGCTAAATGATCCAATCGAAGAATAAAGTAAAATCTTAGCCCTGCCCCACCATGAAAAATCTCCAAGAGTAATGCTATTCTGCCTATCTTCAGAGCAGTGCACCCATTTTTAACAGTGGACTAGAAGCACAGCATTACTGATCCCTAAGAAGCTAAGAGAAGAGACTGTAATGGATGTATGTGCAGAACGAGACCTAAGTCAGGAAACTCATGAGCAAAGAGTTGTATGGAAGGCATTAGAAAGTGGTTTTGTTTTGAGTAGATCAGACTAAGTGAGATGAGATCATAGCGATGGAACAGAGCTCCTAAGAATACCTTTTGGATGGAGTGTGGTGGTTCTGGGTCCACAGTATTAAGCCTGAAGGACACATAAGCTCAGAATCACAGACTGAGTAATTTGGGATGTTATTGCTTCCCCTTTCCTATTCATTGGGTTGACCATAAAGTAAGGACTATGTGACATGGAAGATCAGTTTTTTAAAAGTATCACAGACAAAGAAATGTGTATGCACATATATGTATATGTGTTTATCCATATGAGTGAAAACATAAAGAGTCATGGAGAAGAATGCTGTGCCACACAGAACTTTGTAGAACTTGAGCATCCAGTGATATTCCTGTTAAAGTTGCTATGGGCAAATGAATTTTTAAACATCATGGTTCACGAAGATTTGGCTATTATGAATTTTATAGTAACGTTAAAATATCAGCATCAGTTACTTTGCTGTTTTAGACCTCTAAGTTGTTTAAGAGTCAGAGACAAGGATAGCTATTTGGCATAAACACTTCAGTAATTTATGCTTCCTTAGAGAAATAAAGCTTAGCTTTTATATGAGTTTCTCCAAAAGAACCACAAGCTTATTCAACAACATCCATCAAACAGAGGAAGGTGGAGTATAGGCTAGAGATTAAAAAGGACTTAGAGTTTGGAAGGAGATGTGTAAGCCCTGTGGTTAGTACTGTATGGAGATGCCACCACACAGCTCAGACATTGGGGAAGATGCCCCGAGGATGTGCCACGCCAGCTAATCTGGGGCATTAACTGTGTCATGTAACTGCCACATAAATTAGCAGGATGATGAGATACTAACTGAAGCATCCAGGAGCCAACCATATCTTCAGACACCTCGGCACACGTGTGCCATTTTATATCTCCTCCCATCTTCATCTATATCTCAGAGCATCTTCTAGCCTGAGGACACTATGTGGCAGGCTGCAGATACAGGAGGATTTGAGGTCCTGCTACCCCCCCCCCAATTCTGTCACAGCAGCTCACCACCAATCACTGATGAGCATTGACATAGAAATCACCACCTGCTTGGTCTTGAGGAGATAACTCTGGGAAGAAAGCTGAACATCCTGTCCCAAAGTAGCAGAACACCAGCGAGAACGCCCAGGCGGCTGTGATGGTACACTAAGAACATACTCCTTTGCCTCTCTCTCTTTTCCAGTCTCAACCCATCACTTTCATTCTGTGCTTCCTGAAACAACTCCCAAGTGCTACTGGTATGCAAACCCTCGCTTTAAGGTTTGCCTGAGGAGAATAAAACATGAGAAAGTCAATTGCAGAGAATCTGGTCATCCTGCACAGGAGGCTTTGGGGATGTTGTCTAGACAAAGCCATTTACTTGAGCAGTAGGAGATCAGGAATCCAGAAAGGCTACTTCATCGTCAAGAACAGAAGGAGTGGGAAAAGAGCTCTGCTTTCTTTACTGCACATCCATGTGCTTTTTTATACTCAACATCCCATGCATAACATGGAGGTTAAAATTGAAACACTATTGAACAAATGTCCTTGTAGTATGATTGCGCATCCTTTGGGTTGATGCCCAAGAGTGATATTGCTGGGTCTTTAGGAAGGTTGATTCCCAGTTTTCTGAGAAACTTCCATACTGTTTTCCAGGGTGGCTGTACAAGTCTGCACAAGCTTACCTGAGCTAATGGGAGCCCACCAACTCCAGCCTGACAGGGAAGGCACCAGCATAGGGCCAAAGTAGGCCCTTTGATTGTGGTTAACAATTGTATGACTTGGGCAGACTGTAGGGCCACTGGCAGTAGGATTTATCCCTACTGCTTGCATTGGCTTTTTGGAACCTGTTCTCTTTGGATGGATACCTTGCTCAGCCTAGATATAGAGGGGAGGGCCTTGGTTCTGCCTCAAAACAATGTGATAGGCTTTGTTGACTCCCTATGGGAAACCTTACTCTCTCTGAGGAATGTATCAGGGGTGGAGTGGTGTGTTGGGGGGGAAGGTAGAGGAAACATCAGGAGGGGAGAGAATGGAAACTGGGATTGGTACATAAAATGAAAAGATAGTTTTTGTTTTTTTTAAGAAATAAAATAAAATAAAGAAAAAATTGAAACACTACCATTTTGACAAAACTCACTTTGATTGTAAAGACATTCATGTATCCTCTGCATACATTAGAGACCAAATGAATGAAATTTCAGAAACAATCAAAATGTATCAAATACAGGGATAAAATATGGAAAGTGGTCATGTGGAAGAAACAGGTTAATTTCACAGGAAACCAAAAGCTAAGACCAAAGTGTGTGAGGTATTGAAACAGGGCAGCTAGTGGAACTAGGCATGAATGAACGCTGCCTCTGGAAAACATAGTTCAGTCTATGTATGAGATATAATAAATGTATTGTAGCTAGTAGTAAATTTATTTGTTCAGAAACTATGAGATATGCTTTCAGTGGTGTCTTATTTTATCTTAGATTTAAGCATTTCAGTCTTGTACATATTACCACCCTCACTCAGGATATTCCTGTTTTTAAAACCCCTTTAGCCTACAAAATGATACAAGGAAATGTGCTAATTGGGACTAAGAGTTTTCTAAGAATATTCTACTTTGAAATTATCAGTAAAAGAACAGAGTCCAGTGGACTGAAGAGTCATGTTCATCCTTCAGTTAAATACTAAAAGGTCTGGCTTCCTACAACCATTTTGAGTTAGGTTTTGTTTGTAACTATCAAAATTCATCTTTCATATACATTCAGTATTTTTGTCTTTGTTTTATATGCTCCTAATGTTTTTAAGCGCTCTGGGGACACCAGCCCCTCACCCAGCTACATATGACCTATAAAGGTTTCTCTAAAGCTGAGCACATTGGTGATTTTTATGAATTAAGCTTTAAAGATGAATTTTATTTATTTATGTGCATGTAGCTCTGTGTGTGTGAGTATATCTGTACATGTGTGTACAAGCATGGAGGCCATAAGAGGACATTACATCCTGAGGAGCTGGAGTTACTGATATTTGCAAGATTCTTGGTTTGTCATCTGGGTACTGGGATCCCAACTCATGATACTGGTGGCCATTTAGCAAGAACTCTTAGCTGCTGAGCCTTTTTT